CCCCCCCCCCCCCCCCAAAGACTATTCATCCAAGCTAAATAGTAAAAAGATCCAACACATAAGGAAAATATTTGACAGAAATCATTATATGTGTTCCTAAGGATGAATAATCTGGGGTTTAGTCATTGGATCAATTTTATAAACCTACAAATTCCCACAGATGTCTAATTGCGGATTTCAGAGTGGTGTTCAGAAATATACTACAATTCAAGAAGAACACCAAAATATAAGAGAAGAGTAATAAAACTTTTGTAATTGGGCAGCTTCTCAGTTTCATTGGAACCGGCGTATGCACAGAACATACAACACAGATCGGTGCGTAGGACAATGCATAGGGACCATCTTGAGAGCTTATTACAAGTGTTAGTCTCTATCTTCTACTCCCTCTGTCATGAATCAATCGTGTCACATTCTTTTTTAGTCTGTCTCAAAATAATTGTCACACTTCCTTTCCTAATAAATTAAAAATTATGTGGTCCACAATCTTTCCTTTTATTCTAAACAGATTTTAACAACCCATTTTTTACTTTTCAACACTTTTTAAAACTTCATGAAGTCAAATCAAGACGATTAATATGTAAAAAAAGATTCACTTAAAAAATCATTCCATTTATTCAAAATTTGAATCCTTATGCTCATGAATGAGTTTCTACAATATAAAGGCCATTAATATAGGTGAATTGAGGCCTTTGCACTTAGACTATTCAAAAACTCATTTCATAATACTTTCTTAGATTAGATTTTGTTCTTATAGAAATATTTTTGTTCAAGATATCATGTTTTACACCATAACAGTAATAAAACTTCCCTTATTAACTCAATATTTTATTACTATTATGAGTCACTGAGCAGTTTTCAATTCATTTTCTTATAATGACTTGCTCCCATATTAATTTTTTCCCATTTTAAATTTCTTGCATATGGATTGAGTGTTTGAGTGTTAAATGTCTAGGTAGAACTATGGGAGAAATAATACCCTCTATATGTAGAGGATCTGCAATCAAATCTGGAAGCTCCTCTATAAAATGAAAGTCCTGTTGAAACAAATTTTTATCTAAAATATCATTCAATGTGTCTATTTTTTAGAATATGATCATGTGTTATTTTATGCTTTTTGAGCATAATATGATGGCCGTCTTTAGCATTGTGATCAAGAAGTGCATAACGACAATTTGACCATCATTGATTTCATGCTTATTTGTTCGTGCAGTCACTTTGTTGACAAGGAGAGTGAAAAAAAGGCATTACTATCACATGCTCTAGCACATTGTGCACTAATGAGTTAGAAAGGATGGTTAAAGAAGTTGAAGTATTTGCTCAAGAAGACAAAGAGAAGAGAGACTATCTTGAATGACTTTCCTTCTTACATTGGATTAGTTTTTTAATATATATTTTGTGTGTGTTACATTGTTTTTTTGATTGGTTTTTGTAACAAGGTTTCAAGAAGTTCGCGGGAGACAAGAAGCAACATAAACTTTTATTAATATGTAACAAGGTTTCAAGAAGTTCATGGGAGATAAGAGGATTTCTTGATTTCTTTACATCTCACATTTCAATCTTTTTTAGGTCTCCCCCTGAAGTAATTTTTTTGTAGTGGAATAAATGTTACTATCATATTTGGATCAAATTTTATAAGTATAAGATAAGTCTTCAGGCTCTTATATAACTAAAATTATTACACAAGAATGCTAAATCTCACTCCTAGGCTAGAGGCATCATCCAGCTGACGCGATTATGGGTTGTATTTTTCTGATTTGTTGCAATTAATTTTTCTCCGGTATTATATATCTCTTAAACAAGAATGAGACGGTGTAGGCTATTGCTTTTCGAGAGCAAAAACATGTGACCTTTGATTGAGCATGATCTACATATTAAGCACCAGTATCATCATGTGTCTTAAGGGGAATAAATTTTTTATATCATCTGAGCAAGATGCTGTAAGTATATGACTACTTTAAAATGCTTTTATATAACTAATATGTTTACACTGGAGTGCTAAAGCTCAGTCCAAGTTTATTCTATCTTTTTCCTTATCAATTCTCGCATCATGGATGTCGTCCCAATTCTGTCATTTATGTTTCATGGTATTCACTCTGCCCATTGTTTTTCTAAAAGAATGCATAGATTCTCTTAGGTGCAAGTATGTATTTATCTGTTTCATGTGTAGTTTGTTGTTTCTAATTTTTATGTTTACAAGGTGAATTTATCTCCAACAAGATTGACAACCTTTTATTTTGACTTATGTATAGTATCCAGTTACATTAATTTATGTGAATGGCTTTCAAATTTAGAGTGTTGGAAGTATTCAATTACTGGAATTTACTGCAATGGAAACTTGTTGATGTAAGATTTGTTTGGGAATTAGATGCTGCTAAACAGAGGATTATCTTTGCCAAACGTCTGAGGTAATTGGTTTTTGTTAAGGCGTTGGTAAATGGAGTGTATAGCTGCTGATTGTTTGATCTTATTTGAGGGAATAGGTGGTTTTGATTTCAGAAGATTATATATTGAGATTTCTTACAACCAGTTATGGAATTTGTCAAGCTTCATAATCCTTAATTAAGATTTGTTGTTGGTTTAGTTCACTTAAAGACGGTGTCGAGTTTTGTTTGAATTTGTCTTGGCTTTGGGTTGTACCTTCTGACCTCTTTTTCCCTTTTTTACTTCCCTCTTCTTCCTTTTTTTTCTTTCATTTCCTTTTTGAGAGACTCTGGTTTGGTCCTCTCTTATAGTACTTTTTTTGCAATACAACTTTCTTTGAAAAAAATTTCACATGTTATTGTAAGTGATAAGGCATGCATTGTGGCTATGAAGATCCAAGATTAGCTTTGAACATACTAGATCTCTAACCCGTGCGTTGCACGGTCAGTATTTTAAGATAGTGAAAAAATAATATATTAAATTTATAGTGGATAGAAAGACAATGAAACAGATTGAATTCAATATAAAGATTAAAAACATTATATACTAATATTGAGGATTTACTCTATAATAGTGAAGACAAAAAAACTAAATTTAAGGTTCTGAAAAATTTCTTTGGACGCTACATTCCTTGTTATATTTGAAAGGGAGGGGTACTTGTGTGAGAGTAATTAGGTTTTGTAAATACTACTCTGTATTAAATAGTTAGTTAGGACCCTTTAAATGATGCTTCTTTCAAATATCTTCGATTTTCAATGGATGTCCTCATTAAATGCCATAAGATTTACCCTTTCTTTTATTGAAAGCTTGTTCATTTAACACTTCGTATATCAATACTCCATTAAATGTCCAACAAAGTTGAAAATTGTTTACACCATTACTGTTGGTTTGGGTGTGTGGCTCAAAGTAAATAATCAATTGCTTTTACTTTAAGTCATATCCAAAATGGCTTGTTCATTTAATGCTTCGTATATTAATGCTCATTGACATGTCGAACAAATTTGAAAAATGTTTACACCATTAAAATGGGTTTGGGTGTGTGGCTCAAAACAAAGAATTAATTGCTTCTACTTTGTCCCTTCGGGGACATCCGATAAAATTGGAACGATACAGAGAAGATTAGCAAAAAAAAAATTGCTTCTACTTTAAGTCATATAAGGGTTTGTTCATTTAATGTTTCATATATCAACACTCTAATACGTAAATATGAGTATTAAAAATTTTAAATTTTGGCATTTTTTTCAAATACTTGGTATATAATAAAAATTTTATTCATAGAGTAAAAAATAAAATTCGAAAGATGAAAAAAAATACCATGTAGTGACCACTAAGGATGAGTCAGGCCAGCCCACTCTTTAATTACCACAACCCCAAATCTCAATGAGAAATTTACTTAAATAAGACTAAAATATAATGACTTTCCCAATATAAAACTATATGTTTTTATTTCCTAATTTAAGAAGACCTTTGGTCATTATCAAGTAGTCATTATTCAACTAAATGTCCATCGTTGTTGGACATTATTCCTTCCAATAGGTCATTATTATGTCCTATTTAAGAAATAAAAAAGTTTAAGTCCTAAATTAGAAAAGTCATTATGTTTTAGTCCCAGTGCAAATTTCACAATCCCAATTCCCAAACTAATCGCTCATATCATTCTCCTCAATCTCTCTTTAGGGTTTCGTACTCCATCGTGGGATTCAGATGGGCCGATCTCTGCCGCCAGCCGTAACGGTCGGAAATAGGTTTCTCTTTCTCATCTTTACCCCAACAACGACATGTATTCTTTAATCACTTTGTAGATGATCGGAGGTAATGGCTGGTGAATGGTAAGTGTTTCATATATAATCGCACACTTCTTGTCAGATCCGATAATGTAAATTGCACATCTTCCACTCTTCTGGAAAGTTTTGAGATGTGTTTTCTGCTTCTAGTTTCTGGAAATTACACATCTTCCAGTCTTCCACTCTTCTTTTTTTTTGAAATTATGAACTCTTATTTCATGACATCATCAATAGGCTTATTTTTAAACACAATATGAAACACATGCATTAAAAAATTGATACTCTGTTCCATTTTGGGTTTTAAAATTGGAATATTTTTTTGAAATACGATCTAATAGCATTTTCTGTAAAGTGTAAACATTTTACTCTATATAATCAAATACTTCTTATTTTCTACTCATATGGAGCACCCAGTAAAGTTTTTTTTTGAACATATTCATTGCTTTTTCAAGAAAAAGAAGAGTTCAATGAATGTTTTGTTGTTTTTCATCCAAAAACAAACACTAAGTTTCTAGTACTGCATATAAAAAAAATTCGTTGTTTTCAAATATAAGTACAATTCATTGATTTTAATATGTTCTGTAATATAATATAGGTTAAGGCTACTTAGTCTATGTTGTATTACTTTAAAAAATCTGTAATACACAATTTGTATCTATTCATTTTTCATGTAAATTCATGAACTCTGTAGTGCAGGTAAGGCTCCTCGCTAATGGTAATCTAAATTTTAATTGGAGTTGTATCAACAATTTTTATGCATGTAATGGTTAATGAAATGCTTTTGCATTCCAAAACAATCTTCAAACTACTGTATATAAAATAGCACCATTGAAATGTATAAAAAATAATATGGTGTTCACAAAAAATTTAAATTAGTTTTTGGGAAAGGTGTAATGTTTGGAGTACGTAGAAAACATAGTTACATGGTATTTGTTTTCTGTTGCCTGTCTATATTTTCATGGCAAACTTCATTTTTTTTATTTGCACCTAGTTGTTTTTGAAATAATTTATAATGCTAACTTTATAACATTGAGGAGACAAACTCTGTTTTTTTTTACCAAGAAAATAATGTGGAGAGACTTCCTTGTGCATTTGTGCTATGTTGAGTTTAGATTGGTGTAAGAGCATTTGTAACCACTCAATCTGGGCATGGATCTTGCTTCAATTTGCTGCTTCATAATAAAGAGTTGAATTGTGATATGCTTTGATTGACTTACTATTTCAGGAAGATATAGAATACAAATTACCTTTGGTGAATCCAAATGCATTAATTTTTGAAGGCATTGTGCAAATAATGTTGCCTTCATTCATCATGGAAGAGATGAACTATGATGGACCATATTTTTAAATTTTTTTTTGTTGCATGTAAATTGTGTTGAGAGGTGTGAAGTTTGAAACAATTGCCCCCCACCCTTGCCCCCCCACCCCAGCCCCCCTGCCACTGCCAGGGTAGTGAGGGGGGCAGGAGGGGGGCTAGGGTGGGGAGGCAAGGGTGGGGCTGGGGTGGGGGGTTTAGATGGAAGGTTAGGGGGGGTAGGAACCGTTGTTTTTACAAATGGAGCACCGTAGGTACCCCAAACAAACTTGTGTAAGCAAATGACACCAGTAGCACTCGTGTCAGTTTAGACTTACCGTGTGTGTGTATATATATATATATATACACATATATATATACATATATATACATATATGTAATATATATATATGTATATATATATATATGTATGTATGTATATAGATATATATATGTATGTATATTATGTATATATATATATATACACACACACACACACAAATATATATAATCTAGGTTTACTAAATAATTACAAATATATATTTCTTCTCACCCCTTAATTCAAAAAATATAGGACAAAAACATTAGTGATTTTATTATTCTTCTCCCCCGCATTTATTTAACAAACTTAGATTTCCGATGCTGTAATTTTAATATTAAAAAATCATGATTCTTCTCCGCTAGATTAATTTACATTAATGGAAATATATGATTTTAATTTCTGTGACGCATTAATGTGATTCTTCCTCTCCTTGGCCCTTTGCACTTATAAAAAATTGACTCGTTTTTCTTGTATTATTAAAAGTATGAAAACATAAATTAACAATCATATGATAAGAAATATAAATTTTACAATACATTTAAAATATAATGATTATTCTCCCTCGTATTATTTCAAAAATTATGCAAACGCAAAAAAATAGTTATTATATGATTTTAATGAAAATTTTACAAACACTATTTCACAATTTTTAATCATTTTTTTGCTTTCTTTTTTAAATATAAAATCATTTAAGTGTATGAAAGTATTTTGGTCAATACATAATTTATTATAAAATACAAAGAGTTACAATTTAAAAATTATATTTCTCTTTGTTATTGTAGCTAAGCCTAAATCTTATTCACTTCTGCATATTAGATTTTCTTCGTAGTTCTTCTTAAAGTATTGATTATCCTTGCATCTAAATTTTAATTTTCATAGATCTTCACGCATTTTTTGGCCTCCAAATCTTAATTTTCCTTATAGAAATATTTTTTGTGAAAGTCCATGTTATATCGCTTCATCTCTAAGAATATCATTTTGTTAAATTTGTTTGTATGATTGCGAAAATGAAGAAAAGAAAATCGAGTCATACTTCATCCGTTTTTTTTATTTTCATGCATCAATATAGTGAATTATTCACTCAATATAAATTTATAAATGTTAAGTTACATCTTAAAAATGGTAAGTTACAGTGTAAATTTTCTTTGATTGAAATAATAGGTCAAATTAGCAAGAGAAAGTACAAAAGTCAAATTAAATATTACTGCCAAGTAATTTGGTTCAAATACTTGATCATTTAAATAAATAGTTGAGTCATATCATAATATATAAAATTTTAATATAGGGATTAAGAAGTATTTGTTATTTTACATCAATATTTAAATAAATAGAATAAAACTAACTTTCCTTAATTATAACATAAAGAAATATGAAAATTTTTTGAAGAGGAAGAGAGTAGTTTATATGTTCATTGAAAGTATTATTATAAATGAAATGAAAAAATAAAAATTTAAAAAAATATTCTAATGAAAATTAAATATCTCTCTTTCTTAATTAAATGTACTCAATGATAATAAAATCATAAATAATGTTAGTGTAATATAATAAGTCCCAACGATATATTTTGTTTTAATCATTTGTATTTTATAATATAATAAAAATATGTTTAAATATGTTTTTATACCCTATAAAATAAGAAATTTTTGTTTTTAGTCCCTGTAAAATATTCTTTGATAGTTATTCCTATAAAATATTTTAATTTGAAAATAGTCATTAACGTAATTAGTACTTCTAATTAGATGAGATAGTACATTTATTTCATACTCAACATATTAGTCATGTATTTCTAATTATATGCGATGCAATTTCTAAACCTTAAATTGTGTACTTATTCATATTACATATATGTGGCTCTCATATTTCTTACGAATATAATATAATCAAAATTTGAGAATTGGAAATGCAATTTGATAAAAGACACAATTATTGGCATCAAAATTGTGTCTGAAAAAATTGCAAATCTAAAACTAAGCTATTGATTACAAAATAAATATGTTATGTCAAGTTTTTTCAACAACTTAAAAGTCTTTATTACGTATAAAGATCATTATCAAAATAATTTTTTTGTAAGGATGACTTAATCAAGAATTATATTTCAGGGACCAAAAACAAAACTCACATATTCTTAAGGGACTAAAAATATATTTAATCCTTAAAAATATCATAATAAATAATAATAAAATAAAAAATTTGTAAATTAAATCATAAATCATTTTACAACTATTAGCCATAATTGTTTTAGTAATTATATCAAACCATGAAATTAATATAATAAAATTACCAAATAATATCTAATATATTTTACCTGCTTTAACAATTTATTTCCTAATCTTATCATGTTTTATAAAGTTTCATTGTAGTTTTAAAATAAGTTTTCTATTTATTAACTTACATGAATATTTTAATAAATATAATCAAACTGACTGCTTTGATTTAAATATTTCATAAAAAACATGAAATTTATTTAAAAGTGAAGAAACATCTTATTAATTAATTATGGCCAATTTAGTGAATTTTAGAGATATTATAAGATGTGGGTTATGAAAACTCAGAGAAATGATATGAATTTTGTAATCTGAAATGATTGTATTTGGAGAGATTAAAATTCAAAATTTAATTAGTGGTAAGTCAGGGTGACTGGCAACGGGAGTGGTTGGCACTTGGCAGTGACAATGGTATCAAATCCTCATATTGATATCTCCCAAGTTCGGGAGATATTGAGACTATCCATTTTAAAGATTTATGATATCTGGAGATATTAAATTTGATAACTCTTTTGGCTTCACCAAACACCAGAAAAGGATTAGGATATCTGGAGATATCAAAACTTACATTTTTTTGCTCACCAAACACATCTTTAGAAGTTTTGTAATAATTGAATAGAAAAATATGCATAATTAGGAAATAATTTATTATAAAAACGAATATCTCCATTCTCTTCCATAGTTAATTGTACCGAATGACTTCATACCATAGTATTAACTTCTTATTTTCTATAATATATTTTACGTGTCAGAAATGTCTCGTAAACAACATCACATCTCAACTTCTTAGAAATTAAAATATCAATTTTATAAATAAAGGAACAATTATAAACATATTTGATTCTTTCCTATAAGAATACTTTTAGATGAAAATATATCATCATCAAAATTTTGTTTTTTGTGTATTCACTTAGTTAAAAATTTGATTCATAAAAATGCTAATCTAGAAATGGTAAGTGATAATACCAATTTTATATTTTCACTAATTTTTTGCTACATCATAATAAGTTTTATCATAAAATTATATTTTATATTATTTTTTTCCTTTAATAATTTTATTTTGGAAAATACTATATTTATCTTTCACAAATTTGATTTTATAACATAATTAATTTTATCACAACATAACAAATAAATAAATGAATTGCTTTTTAAAAATTAAAAATATAAAAACTCAACTAATGTCACGAAGTAATGAATTCTTTATTTGTCCTAAATCTTTTTACGTAAAATGTTTCCAAAATTTGAAATCATTATTAAATTTCTATTTTAAAATAAAAAGAAAGGTTAATTCATCAATAATAAAATTTGCCACATAAGCAACCAATAAAGGCTCGCGATCTCACCTTAATATAGCCCACATAAGCTTGACACTTGGCGATTTTCTAGCAAACGGAGTGTCAAATATTATATTAAAAGATTATATTTTTTATAACTAAAAAGAAATTTTTATACAATCCTTTTTTAATTATGACATATTATAAAAGATTAAGTGAGATTGTAACAAAAAGCACTCTAGCTTGGATGGTAAGGAACTCATCTAATTGACTAAGAGATCTTGGGTTCAAACCCAATGGTGGTATGCTTTTGGAAAAAAATTGAAAAAAAAACTGGTCCGACCAGCCAGTTTGTCTAAAAGGGTGACACATCAGCTCTGCCAAATGTCACGTTTTTATAGCTCGGAGTCTGCTTTATATATATAAAGGATAAAGGATAAAGGATAAAGGATACCAATGTATATAGGGATGTAAACGAACCGAATCGAAGCGAATACCGATATATTTGAATTTGCATTTGTTTAATTTTTTCGAATACGAATCCGAATTCGAATATGAGACGAATTCAAAATAAGATTTGAATAAGTATTTGATTAATATTCGAATAGTTATCGAATCATAAACGAATATTCGAATAATCATACTATGTAATTTATATGATGGACCAACATCAATTTGTAATTTAACTTACGATACTCTTTAATTTGTAATTTGTAATTTAACTTCCGCATATAAAAACATTAATACATTTGCATCTTATACATTATATTTTATAAAATATAACTATTAAAAATCATATGCTTTAGATTTTCGTGTTACGTTAATTTCTTGAATTCTTAGTATTTTAAATACACTTTATACTATATTACTTTGCTTGACTTTTGATGTTGAAAACATGGTCTGTGTATATATACATATATTTGAATATTTGAATATCATCCGAATCGAATATATCCCTATTTGTATTTGTATTTGATTAATATTCGAATCAAAAATAATATTTGAATTCGAATTTGAATTTGAATAACACGAATTCGAATCATTATATTCGAATACAAATCGCGAATCGAATTTAAAATATTTGATTTGTTTACCTCCCTAAATGTATATATATAGGTAGAAATTACAAAAAAGGAATGCTAGGGGTACCCCATTTGGGGTACCCCAATTTGTACACCATGCATCCTAGCCCTTCATTTATTTTGTTATTTTACTTTCTCCGTTCCA